TGAAGGAACCAACCAATCATTTTAAAGGTCACCCTATATTCATTTTCTTGTTTACGAGTTGTTTATGCACTGACATCATCTCCTGTTCTTAGTATCTTATCTCAGCATAAACATCTTGAGCTAAATTCCTCTCAGCACCATCCTTGTATCTACTCTAAGTGTAAACAACTTAAGCTAACTTCCTCTCCACACCATCCTTTGTATCTACTCTTTGGTAAACAGCTTAAACTAACTTCCTCTGGCACCATTTGTATCTATTTTGCCTAAACAGCTTAAGCTCTATTTGTCCAAGTTCCCCTTGGCAACCTCTTTGCAGTCCATGTATGCCCCACAAATAAGGGGGACTTCATAGTGGAATGATTTGGCCAGGGATGTGTGTACCAGATATTTTGAAGAGTCTACACTTGGCTGTATATTGTGCTTTTATCTTGAAAGGGGGAGGTCTTTTGTTTCTCCTCTTTGTAGTGTATAAAATGCCCATTAGAGTAAATCTCGAGGTGGCTGGGTATTGACCCAGGGCTCTTCCAAAGCTATCCTGTATCTCTGTCTTTCTTGTCTTCTTCATCTATATTTCTATCTAATACTTCCTCATTCCTCTCTTGTCCCACCAAGAACCTTTCAACAGGTCAGAGAGAGACTCCGACAAGGTCCTACATATTGGAAGGAGATAACTGACTTCCAGAGTTTTTCTCTGACCACTCTATGTACTCTGTGGCATCCACACACACACAATAAATAAGCAAATAAATGAAAACAATTCAATAAAATAAATGCAAGTTTGAGGGCAACTGTCAAATGATGTTATTTACAGGTCCCAGAGGCTAGTGTTTAGGTTGACATCATCCCTGGGGTTTGGCCTGAGAATCTCTAAATGGTGTGTGGGAACTACTCTAGCAGGTGTAAATGCATTTCTCCTAATTGAGTTTCTTTTCCATTCAGTCATTCTCCTTTCTGCTAAAGCTAAGAAGAAAACCTTTCTGGGTATGGTACCTAGGCTGCTAAGAGGTTTCGCTGCCTCAGAGGAGAGGGTCGGATTATGTTCTAGAGTCATTGAGACAGGTATGTCTTTATTGTACAGGATCTACCTGGGGATGGATTTATCATAGGAAATTTCCTGTGAAAGTAGAATTGCAAGGTGAAAAGCAAGGGTGGATGGAGGAGTTGGGAAGGTCTGAGGTAAGGGAAGGAGTGGAGAGAGTGAGTCTTGGTGAATGAGCCATTTACTTTACCTTTCCATGGCCAGATTCAGCAAGAAGGCAAGGTAAGTGAAGGGTTCTGGGACTATGAGAGTCAGACCTGCTCCCTATGCTGAAAACTAAATAATAATAATAAAAAAAAACCTCATCGGATTGTCTTTGCCCGAGGACTTGAGATCTGGTCTTCAAAACAAGGTGTGGGGATGGAGGATAAAAAAAAAATGTCAGGGAGACAGGGGAAATAAGGTCAAACACTAATTCTTTGGTGGGGTAATGTATTTTCTCTTTCTAGTCAGGAAGATAAATTACATCTCTCCAATTGGTGAGTATGTGTCTGGTGGGGTTGTTGTGGAGATCCAGGTGATGCTCTGGTGCTCAGCCCTAGCCCTGGCTCTGGTTCCTCTGGGATGGGAAAGATCATGGAAGGCTGGTGTGGAGAAAGCATAGACTGGGAATGGGGCAGGAGGAGATGGCAGGAGAGACACAGTGTGTGTGTCCTGAGCAAAGTGAGCATGAAGAAAGCTTGTGCTTCTCTTTCTAGGAAGGATAGAGGAACCCTTCCATCTAGGTGAGTTTTTGTTTTTTGTTTTTCTTTAGAAAACCTAAGCTTCTATCAGGAAACCACAGGCTTGGAACTCAAATGAGAACTTTCTTTGGAGCTCAGAAAACTGAGGTCTACTTTCACATTTTTAGTTAGTTCAACTCACATGGGCAACTGCATGTACCGATGTTCACTGAGGACTTCCTAGGAAGCAGGCATTACTCCAGCATGGACAATGTGAGATGATTGGATGAAAGTGCCCATGTCTTTGAAGCTTCCACTATGGCATCCTCTCACACTCACAGACCACCTGTAGGACACTTGGCAGAACCAGAATATCCTCCAAGGCATGCTGGGCTAGTTCTTCATAGATGGTGGAGATAGTTATTAATAAGTGTGGCTCTTATGTGCCAGGTGCCCGACAAAGACAGACTCATTGACTCCTCACCATGTACCCATTTATCACACATGGAAACTGATCCTGAAACACGGAGGACTGTCATTTCTGGAGTCTAACAGTACATATCCTTCCAGATACATCCCAGACACGAACACGTGGTCATTTTTCTCCTACTTGTGATAACTAGTTTTCAGAATTTCCAACTCTGCTCCTAGTACTGTATTTTCTTCTTCCAGAGTGCTGACACTAGTTGCTCTGTAGTTCTTTCTAACTTTATAAATAGTTGCCTCACTGGGGCTCCATCAGGTATCAATGGAGAGCTTCTAACCACTGAAACTGGTACTGAAGGAGAAGGGCATAGCATCCCAGGGATATTTAATGAAGAATTTCTCTCACTCTCTGATTGGTGTTGCTGTCTATGAGCAGATTTCAAGTGCCTACAAGATGAGGTTTCTGAGAAAACATGGAAACTGTCCATGCTTTCAAAGGATGATCAAAATGTTGTGTTCTCTAGCCTCCTACCCATGCTCAGTGACAGGAAGATTCTGTATGACCTGATGAACATGGTGAGAATTCCATAGCTGCCTAGAGATGATCAAGCCGAAGGGTCAGTTTGGGTGATGGGGGTGCCAAGATACATGAGGGAGGAGGGATGCACATGATGCCCAGGAGAGTGAGAAAGATGTCAAAGATTGGGGATTCTGGCTCCATGCACAATGATGAGAGCTAGAGAGTGTGGCCCCTGAAATCTGCTCAGGATGCCCCTGGGGGAGGCAGAACCTATAGTCCACACCTTGCTCAACTTCTCTGTACATAGGCACATCACACAACAATGGTTTTGAGCCAGATATGGGAAGCTGAAGCTACTTGCAAGAGTGTTGCAAGTTCAAGGCCTTTCTGGGATACATAGTGAGTTCAAAGCTAGCATGGGCAACAGCCTGAGACCCTGTCACACAGAAGAGAAAAATGAAAGGAATAGGGAGCCAGGCTGCAGCTTCATGGTAGAGGATTCATTCAGCATGTATAAAGTCATTCATCGACAGCACTGGGAATGAATGCTGTTATTAAGAGAACATCTATCTCCTCTAGCTGGAATTGGATCAGTTGGGGCATATGGATGGCCCAGGTGGTATGATCCTAGATGTTGTGCAACAGAACCCATGGATTGACCTAAAGAACCTCATTCTTTATCTCCTTCAAGCCCTAATGGGTAAGAATTATTTGAGGGAAGTGTGGGAGAGTCCTGGTGTTGGTTCTCAGAGGGCTCTTTTAGATCTACCTCCCCAAGGCCCTTGAATTATCATGATCATTCTCATGTCACCCTTCTCTATGACATCAGCAAGGTTCAGAATGATAATAAACCATGCACTGCGGATGGAGCCTGAGGTGTAGAAAGTGAGCAGTAACCATTCTCTTCACACATCCTTGGTAGAAGATGATTCCTGCCTCAGCCCTTAGATATCAGGCTTTGGATCATGTCCCTTATGATTCTGGAGCTTTCTGAAGGGCAAAAGAGCTTTCTAGGGTTGTGAGCTTGACCTTTAAATCCAATGGGACATATTCCTCTGTCCCAGAGTTTCCCTCTCATTGGGTGTCCTAGTTCATATTGAG